CAGCCTGGGCAGCAGTGGGCATCCCCTCCACTCAAGGTGCTGGGGGCTTTGTCCTGAGATCCTGTGGCCTCTGACCAAGGCCTGGGGCTGCAGACCCCGCTTCTGACTGTCTTCCGTCCTCCACCCCCTCCCCAGGCTGTCGGTACCTGCCGGCTTCCTGCTCGCCACCATCCTGGGCACAGCCTGCTTGGCCATCGCAAGCAGCATCTACCTGCTGGTGAGTAGTGTCCTCCGTGGTCAGCCCCGCCAGTCCTTGACAGCCGTGGCCCAGTGGCTGGGCCTGCAGGCCAAACCCGTGTCCTTGCTCACGTCGCGGGGACAGTTCCGATGTAGCCTCCATTCTGGCCCATCTAACGTGCTGGCCGTTCCCCTACGTCCTCCGTAACCTGCGCTGCAGCCCTGCGAGGTGGGAGGTGGGGCCCCCACTTCACAGACAAGCGGCGGAAGCTCAGAGAGGGGACGTGGCTGGCCCAGGTCACACGGCCGGCAGGCCCGGCCTGGATTGGGATCCATCCAGTTCGGGATGCTGTCAGGGGCTCGTGAGCAGGGCAGATGCCACGTGCAGAACCCTTGGGGCTGGGTTTGCCTGGAGTCCAGGTTACGCAAAGGGCCCCTTGTCAGCGAGGCTGCACGAGGCCACCTTTACAGCAGGGCAGGGGGCGGTAGGGATGGGGCGGGGGCCCCACCAGGCGCAGGCTGCCGGACGCTCGCTGTTCTCCTGCGCGTGGTGCCCCTGACCCGCCGAGTCGCGGTTCCAGCCCCACCACGGCCACCAGCTTCAGTCAGGCTGACAGGGCCTGATGATTTCGACTTGATTGCTCCGCTGCTTACGAGCTGGCCGCCGCCTCATTCGCTTCAGCTGTCTGAGTGCGTCTACGCTGCCTGTTCAGATCTTTTGCCCATTTTTCTACTGGGGTTTTGTCTTTTTCTTGTTAGTTTGCAGGAATGTCACGTGTATTTTAATTGTGAATCCTTTGTCAGTTTTAGCCATTGTGGGTACTCCTCCTTCTCTATTAAGGATCTAACTTTGTCCATGAATCCTTCCCTGAGCAGAAGTCTGTCTGTCTAATATATTTATTTGCTTTATAGTTTCTGCTTTTTAAAAATGGCTTTCCCTGCCCGTATGCCATATTTTCCTGCACTCTCTTCCTTCAACTTTCTAGTTTTACCTTCTGGGATAGAGTGTTCTAGTTTGGTTTTTTTTTTTTTTCTCTTAATTAATTTATTAATTTATTTTTTGGCTGCGTCGGGTCTTTGTTGCTGCGCGTGGGCTTCTCATTGCGGTGGCTTCTCTTGTTGTGGAGCACGGGCTCTAGGCGTGTGGGCTCAGTAGTTGTGGTGCACGGGCTTCAGTAGCTGTGGCTCGCGGGCTCCAGAGCACAGGCTCAGTAGTTGTGGCGCACAGGCTTAGTTGCTCCGCGGCATGTCGGATCTTCCCGGACCAGGGCTCGAACCCGTGTCCCCTGCACTGGCAGGCGGACTCTTAACCACTGCGCCACCAGGGAAGCCCCAGTGTTCTAGTTTTTAACTTAGGAGGTGTGATTCTAGAAATTCACTTTATTCTTATGCTTCATAAAGTGTATGCTGTCACATGTTTTTTTGTATCAACTAATGTATTAGGGGATACAAAACCAAAGATACACGTTCTTAGGTCCACTTGGCCTCTGGCCCTGGAGTCTGCGTTTCAGCACATTCCCTGGGCTGTGCCCTCTTCCTCCTCAACACACCTGGGCCCCTGGCCTCCCTGGCCACCCTCCTGGGCCTCTCCCCACCCCCCTCACCCAGAGCTGCCGGCCTCAGCTCAGCATCACGGCCACTCGGGCCTGGGCTTCTGTCCTGCTCCTGGCCCTCAGTCCCTGGGCAGAAGGCTGGTCTTGGGCTGTGCACCTGGAAGCTGCCTCCAGGGGATCTTTCAGGATCCCTGGGGTTCAGCACCCCTCGCCCTTGTGGGGCCCCTTGTGTTGTGGTGAAATAGCTGGGTTCCAACTGTGTGGCCTCAGGCCCATCAAATAACCTCTCTGAGCTCCAGTCACTGAATTCGGTCGTGTCTTGGCTTCTGGCTGGGGTGGGGGAGCGCAGGGGCGGGGAGGCCGTATGGCGGGGCGGGGACTGCCTGGGAGGACCCCAGCCCAGCCCCTCCTTGTCCTGCAGGCGGCTATCCACGGGGAGCAGTGGACCCCCATCGAGACCAAGCCCAAGGAGCGGCCGCAGGTGGGGGGCACCATCAAGCAGCCACCCAGCAACCCCCCGCCCCGGCCCCCAGCCGAGGCCCGCAAGAAGCCGAGTGAGGAGGAGGTGGCAGGGGTCCCTGTGGGTGGCCCCCAGGAAAACCCCATGCCGGTGACTGATGAGGTCGTGTGACCAGGGCCTCGAGCCACTCCCGTCCCGCCAAAGCTTCGAGGGCTTCTCCTGCAGACGGGTGGGGGTGGGCAGCCCCCAGCCCAGGGCACCCCATTTTCTGCAGACTCCTTCGGGTTCACCGGCAACTGGGCTGTCATCTTCCTCACTGGCACTGGGATCTCGGTGCATCGCCTGTTCCATGAAACACGTATCTGGAATTCCAACTGTTTGTGTTTCTACTCTGGAAAAGAACGTCTCAGGTCTGGGGGGGAGGGTGTGTGTGTCCCCCAAGCTCCCTGATCTGCTAGGACCCACCTGCTGGAGCACCCCTCGGACCACCCTGGGGCCAGTGTGCCGTGGGCAAGGTGCCCACTTGGGACTTCCGCTCCAGCCAGGTCGCCAAAATTGTTACCAAACCAAACTCGGGTCTGCTCACCCGTGCACAGCAAAGCCAGTCTGCTGACATGCGTTGTGTGAAGGCAGGTGCAGGGTTTATTGCAGGCACCAAGCAAGGAGTCCAGGCAGCTCGTGCTCAAAAGACGCCCCCCAACTCCCTGGTGGCTTTCAGGGAAAGGTTTTTAAAGAC